CTGTTTGCATATTCTTGTAGGCCTATATTTGAAAAGTCATGAACAAATTTTTGCCACCTTTTTATAGTTGCGTTTACAAAACATTCAGGGTCAAAGGTCAATTACCTGTATGCAGCATGTTGCAGGTCATAACTCTTCAACTACTTGCTCTAAAAGCACAAAAATAGTGTCTACACCGAGGTTTTTCGGGACAACAATTATGGGAAATTTTTGACGCCTTATAGTAGCTACGTTGACCAAATATTCAGGGTCAAACGTCAGAATAGCTTTTATATAGCATGTTTCGGGTCATAAATCCTTAATTACTTCGTCTCAAAGCACGAAAATTGTGTCTACACTTAGATTGTTGGGGTCAACATTTATGGAAACATTTTTACCGCCTTCTAGTAGCGGTGTCGACTAAAAATTTAGGGTCAAAGGTCAGTCACCTTTATACAACTATGATTGTCATAACTCCTCAACCAGTTTACCTAGATGCACAAAAATAGTGGCTACACCTAGGTTTTTGGGATCAACATTTATTCAAATTTTTTTGCCACCTTCTAGTAGCTGTGTTGACCAAATAATATTCAGGGTCAAAGGTCAATGACCTTTATACAACATATGATGGTCAAAACTCCTCAATTATGGGAAATTTTTGACGCCTTAGAGTAGCTGCGTTGACCAAATATTCAGTGTCAAAGGTCAGTATAGCCTTTATATTTCAAGTTCCGGGTCATACATCCTCAACTACTTGGTCTCAAAGCACGAAAAATTGTGTCTACACTTAGATTTTTGGGTTCAACATTTATGGAAACATTTAACCGCCTTCTAGTAGATGCGTTGACTAAATATTTATGGTCAAAGGTCAGTGACCTTTATACCACTATGATCGTCATAACTCGACCAGTTTGTCTAGATGCACAAAAATAGTGGCTACACCTAGGTTTTTGGGATCAATTTATTAAAGTATTTTTGCCATCTTCTAGTAGCTGCGCTGGCTAAATATTCCAGGTCAAAGGTTACTGACCTTTATCCAATATAATATGATGGTCATAACTCCTCAACCACTTGGTCCAGAAGCACAAAAATATTGTCCACCTATAGTAGGCCTGTTAAGCGAACCGATCCTTCAAATTGTGATAACATTCTGAAAATTGGCACAGTTATTCATTGGGGTATCAAAAACATGGAATTGAAGGGTTGCCCAAAATTTGGTCAGGGGAAAGCGGCTATTTTGGATTTCAAAATGGTGGACCCCAAATTTTCACTTTTTAGGTATATCTCAGCTGAAAGGCACCTAAAGTGTTCTGATTTTGGGGGCAAAGTATATGGTATTGGGGTCAACAAACATTGGTATAACTTACCTTTCGATTGCACGGTGGCCATTTTGAATTCCAAGATGGCTGCCATTAAATTGCATTACAACGCATATCTGAACTTGTAGAGCCTCAATTACGGTGAATGTTTTCGTGTTTATTAAACAAATATATGCAATTACAAATACTGACTGAATAAATGTTGGCTCTTTTGAATTCAAAGATGGCCACCCAATACATGGTTTCAAGGCTTATTCTTTTATAACACCTTTATTACATGCAGTAAATATGGTGTAATTATTGGTCACAAGAAACATTTTGGATACAACCTCATTTATGATTTTTGATTTGGGAGACAAAGTCATTGTAATTGGCGTTAAAAAAAAAACTATTATATAGATATAACTTCTATTATGGTTGCATTTTGGCCACTTTGAATTCCAAGAGAGCCGCATTCAAATGAGTATGTCAATGCATATATCTATAATTTTAGGGCTCGATTACAGTAAAATGGTGTATATTTTTGGAGTTTACAAGCATATTGATACAATATCCATTATGATTACATGGTGATCATTTTTAATTCCAAGATGG